GTCACACTATACTGAAGCTTTCCAAAGATATAAAGCAAGGATATAAAAGCAGAAACTAGAACACAAGTGCACAAAATACGAGGCATACAACCAACCTTTCAACTTAGGTGAGCTACAAACATCACCAAACTCCTGCAGTAATTCTGCTTCAGGCTACGATCGTGTCATGTATGAAATGTTAAAAAACCTGCCGCTCCAAACGCGAAAAACTTTACTCTCCCTATACAATGCTATCTGGCTTTCTGGCACCATCCCTACTTTCTGGAAAGAGGCTATTGTTATCCCTACTTTGAAAGAGGGCAAGGACCCTTCCTCAGTTTCGAGTTATAGGCCCATTGCACTTACAAGCTGCCTTTCTAAACTTTTGGAAAAGATGATAAACCGCTTACTTGTACATTTCCTTGAGCCCCGCCGCGGTTGTCTAGTGGCTAAGGTACTCGGCTGCTGGCCCGCAGGTCGCGGGATCGAATCTTGGCTGCGGCGGCTGCATTTCCGATGGAGGCTGAAATGTTGTAGGCCCGTGTGCTCAGATTTGGGCGCACGTTGAAGAACCCCAGATGGTCGAAATTTCCGGAGCCCTCCACTACGCCGTCCCTCATAATCATATGGTGGTTTTGGGACGTTAAACGCCACATATCAATCAACATTTCCTTGAAACAAACAATTTACTCGACCCATTTCAATGCGGGTTTCGAGAGGGTAGATCCACCACAGACCACCTTGTTCGTATCGAGGCACAGATCAGAGACGCTTTCGTCCACAAACAATAATTTCTCTCCGTGTTCCTTTATATCAAAAAGGCTTACGATACAACATGGCGCTTTGGATTAATAAGAGGCCTGTCCCATCTTGGCGTGCGTGGAAGAATGTTTAGGATATTCGAAAGTTACTTGTCAAATCGGATATTCCGTGTCCGAGTGGGCAGCGTTCTTTCCGAAACATTTGTCCAAGAAATAAGAGTACCGCAGGGTAGTGTACTTAGCCGCTCACTTTTTATTATCAAAATGAATTCTTTGCGCTTGTCCATCCCTCGAAATATGTTTTACTGCACATATTTCGACAACGTCCAGCTTGTTTTTAGGTATTCTAATCTGGCCATGTGTGAGCGGCAGATTAAGCTTGGTTTGAACAAAGTCTCCAATTGGGCAGAATAAAATGGGTTCCGACTGAACTCACAAAAAAGCACGTGTGTCTAATTTCCCGAAAGAAGGCATGCACTCAGAACCTGACATTCAACTGAACAGTCAACGTCTGTCTGTTAATGACGAGCAGAAATTCTTAGGCCTAATCTTGGACAAGTTGACCTTCATACTGCACATCAAGTATTTAAAAACAAAATGTGTAAAAGTCATGAATGTTCTAAAGGTGTTGTCTCATTCTACGTGGGGTAGTGACAGGCTATGTCTCATGAATTTGTATAGAAGCATCATTCGCACTTGCTTACATTATTGGGCCACAGTTTTTCAGTCTGCGACTCTAAGTGCTTTGAAAATGCTGGACCCCGTGCACAATTTAAGCATTCGCCTTTCTACGGGTGCTGTCCGCACTAGCTCTGTGGAAATCCTGTATGCGGAATCGAATGAGTGGTCACTCCACTTACAGAGATGTTACACATCTTTTGTGTAATACCTCAAGGTGAACACAGACAAAGAACACCCCTCTCATTTCACAATCGATGATCGGTCTTATTTTGCCCTGTTCCACTGCCGTCCTTCGTTGAGGCAGCCCTACGCACTTCGTGTAAAAGGCCTCGCTGAGGAAACAGATAAGCCACTTCTACAACACTGTTTGATGGCTCCCGATGCGTATCTTCCACCGTGGCAGTGGCAATTTATAGACTGTGACATATCTTTTTGTGGAAGTCACAAAGCATGCGCACATACTTTCACGAACTCCAACACAAATACAGTTGTCCCGAATTCTACACCGATGCCTCGAAGACGAACACTTCTGTCTCGTATGCTGCGGTTGGCCCATCCTTTTCAGATGCCGGTACTCTTCATCCTAACACAAGCATCTTTACTGCAGAAGCTCATGCCATACTTGCGGCTGTTGAACACATTAAACGAATAAAACTACAAAGCGCAGTAATATACACAGATTCCCTAAGCGTGGTAAAAGCCCTCAAAAACCCTGAAAAAACACAAAATTTCCATTCTTGTATTTCTACTCGCTCCTATCTCTACTCTTGTATTTCTACTCACTCAAACAGCATGTGGTAGTGTGCTGAGTGCCAGGACACCGCGAGATAGAAGGAAACGAATTGGCGAACCACTTGGCTGCATTGCCAAGCAATCAATGCCAATACAACAATGGCGGTCCCTGCACTCAACCTGAATCCTCTCCTCAAACAAAACCTCGGGCCTTTTTGGCAGCGCACATGGGATACGCACACACGAAATAAACTGCATATTACCAAGCCGCAACTCGGTCAGTGGCCGGAAGTATCTAAGTCACGCCGCTCACAAGTTTTACTAACAACGGCTAAGGATGGGACACACATACACGACACACTCATACCTTTTGTCTGGTGACGACCCATCATTCTGTGAGAGATGGTGAAGCACAAACTGTGCTTCACATTTTAATTAAAAGTAAGGAATTGGAGACGCTTAGAAAACAATTCTTCTCATTATGCTATCAACAACAAATACCACTCCACCCTCCAATGTTCATTGGTAGGGACCACTTTTCAAACTCAAGTCATTGCTGTCATTCTTAAAACAGGTGCAAGATTTTCAAATGATTTATCTAGGGAACTCGTAGCACGACCTCTGAAGAGAGGTCGCTACTGCGGTTATTACAAAAAAACGCAGCACATGTCTCCCGACCCTTGTATACAAGGGCGTTCAAAAGGCATTTGTGCTAATGCCAATTATCACCATAGTTTTATTATCGCGTTCTTTCACCATCCATTCTCACTAGACACCTTTCACGTCACTGTCATAATTTTAATACTGCTATGTTTTACCCACCACAGTGTGTGGAATTTCAAGGCCCCTTTACAGCCACCTATCATAAACATTGCCCACATCTCTTGTCTCATGAAATGGCGCTCTTTGGAAATCCTATGGCCTTGCACCATAAAGCACCACACATCATGAACCCACTCGCATTATGAACTCACCCCCGATCTTGGTCCTTGAGAAAAAAAATTAATATATCTGTTCATTTTATTTTGCTGTGACAGCCAGTACTGTTGATGATCAAAACAACGGCAAATCAAGCCGTTATATCACAAAATAATGACATAATAAAAGTCAAAACATAGTTAGGCAACCATTCTAAACATTTGCGAGCTTTGACGATGGCATTCAAAATTAAAGTCGTGCTTTTTGCAGTAGGGCGCTATCAGTCGAATGCAGAAACCTTTTTACTTTTAGCGCAACGCGAGCACAGTGGCACGAAAACTAAGCAAGAATCTGAGCCCATGGCCTCCGAGATGATTGGTGCTCGGCGTGTTTTTACGCCGCGTGCCTTCCATCTTAGATTCATGCAAAGCGCAACCACCATGCCAGCCGCATGTTGTGCACCCGAAATGTTTGTGTAACGCCATCTGATGCTGTGTTTTCCGTCGGGTTTATCATTTTGTTAGACACCTGCTGCACAGGGCGCATTCAGTCGGTATGCTAGCTACACGGCTGCATGGGCTGGAGCTTGGGAACTGAGCAGCTGGACAAGTAGGCGTCGATCCGTGTGCGTTTGTTACAGGAGAAAGCAGAAAGAGTCTTGGGTTACAAAAAAGATTTGTTGCGCATTTTGTGGGCCAAATTAATCATGCGAAATTTTCCCTGTTATAACTCCCGTGACTTGTCCTGCGTAATGAACCCTCCCCCCAAATTTGCGTCAACTTTTCTGAAAGAAAAGTATTTACGCGAGTAAATACGGTATCAATTGCAAAATACCAACAATAAATATAGCCTAGAAGGTATTTTACATGAATTTTGAAAGTATTAACACCATCAAAAGTTCCCCCCCGTGGTGACCCCCCTACTCTCACGTCGCCACGATTGGTGACGTGATAGGCACCATTTTTCTTTTGCCGAGTTTTCTCCAGCAGTTCATACATTTCACTGGTGGCTTGCAAGACCAGGGCTGTGGCACATTGTATTTGTATTTGGTGACACTGCTGTCCTGTTTTTTGTTTGGAGCGACTTCTTGATGCGGGCCCGGCGGAAGTACACTACAGTTTTGTAAGCTGAGGTGCTCGAACGCTGGACCTACCTGGTGGCAATAGTTGCATCTGGCACTTGTAGTTTTTGGACCTCTCTCAAACAAAAACGGTATTAAACCCAGCCACGGCGGCTGCATTTTTGATGGCAGTGAAAATGCTTGCAGCCCGTGTGCTTAGACTCAGGTGCCCATTGAAAAGAACCCCAGGTGGTTGAAATTTCCGGAACCCTCCAATACTTCATCGCTCATAATCATATGGTGGGTTTGGGACTTCAAATTTAGTCAATCACCACTAAATCAAACTGAAACTTTTTGGTAATGAGGCGCCTGTAATATTATCTGTCGTGCGCTGCAGCAAACAATGTGCCGTGTTGTGACTAACAGGCCCCAACAACACACTGCAGCAAAATGCAAGGCCAAAGTTTTTTGTGTCAGTACCTTTTTCAAGTGTGTGCAGTGCACTTTTTGTCAGGTTAACTGCACCTCATAACTGGCATGACTGATGCATCGGTATACCTCGAAATATCTGTCTCCTTTGGTAATCCCACTGCTGTACAGAAAGTGTCAATAAGGATTTGTGCTATTTTTATGCCCTTAAATTGGCACTTCTCAAGTCCTCATACTGGGCATGGCTACAAGGATACATTTTTAGGGATATGTTGCAGGCAGTTTACGGGCTTTAATTTTATGATTTCAATAAATTGGGCTTGACATACTTTCACTAACATTCTAACATTACAGTTGTGCCATCCTTCAGGGGTGCTTTTATTTTATCGGCAGTTTAGTGGTGTGATAAGTGAGAGTAATCAAGCGCATTATTTCTGCAGGTGGGGTTGCCGCCACCACAGCCTGAGGAGGCACCTGCAACATTGGGTGTATCTGGGACATCAATAGGCGCTTTTCCACAGCCGCAATTTTCCTACCAGGAAATCAATGTGCTTTCTATGACCACTTTAGCTCAGCACATCCAAATAAACAGCCAGGTATGTGTTTTTGGCTTAGCACTTATTACTCATGCAATGTGCTTACTCTTAAATTACTGTTACTGGTGATAAGATTGGAATTTTTGCCCTTATACTACTCTGGTGCGGTCATATGAGCTGTGATGTTCAGTGCTCATATTCTTTTTATTAAGGGTGTGCAAATTGTGAAATATCATCTTGAAAAAAAAATTAACGACATCTACCCAAAGGGAACCCTGATGAAATGTGAAGCAGCATTACGCACGGACGCGATCGGCGTTTTTGACTCGCGCCTCGTCTGTTTCATTGGTCTTCCACTGCCAACGCTTGCGTTTGGCTTCCCTGGCCCGCGCTTTGTTGGTAGTGCAGGTGCAACGTTTCCATTCGCAAACGCAATTGGCTCTGCTAACCCGCGCAACGCCGACGACGGCCGGGTTGGCCAAATCGCTTAAGCCCTTGCTTGTTTCAGCGGACGAAAGAGCTTCGCTCTTTGGCGTCCTCCCAATCGCAGATAAACAAGCCGAAAGAGTGTTCACTCGATGTGTGCTCAAACGTTGCGAGCGGTGGAGAGGGCGAAGCAAGAGAGGTGTGACCTACTTGGCACCGCCCCAACACCTGCAGCGAAGGGAGCACGGTGCGATGCGTTGGCAGGGAGACACGGAAGGACAGCAATACACAGGCTAGAAAGAGCTGCTTCGTATCTAATAGTGCCTAGTAATGGCCAAGGATATTGAATAATGAATCAAATATCACATACGGCAAGTACACATGGGGAAGAGACATCAATTGTTGATTAAAGAGCCACTACAAAATGGGAGAGTTAGCAAGTGTGCAGGTTTGCTAGAGTGAATAAAAAAATTTGCTTTTTTAGTCAATGAAAAAATTTTGATTTTTTTTTTAGCAGTGTGATTTTTTAGCAGTATTAGTCTAGGCTATCTTAAAAACTGGTTGCATTATGACAGGGTTAATGCAAGTCCTATAAACCTTTGAAATTGAAAAGTCCATTTTCAAGACCTTGAGTGTACTGGAAATTTTGCAAATCTTTGAAAGTTTTTGTGAGTTTCTCCCCCCCCCCCCCCCTTTTTTTGAGTAATTGTTATTGCACATTTTACAAGGCATTATTTGTGATGTCATAAGTGCAGCAGGTAGCTTATGTAATGTGCCCATCACAAAAAACATTGAGTACGTACAGCCTTAGGAAGAATGCCAAGACCAAGCAGCAAAAGACAGTTGACATTGTGGAATAGATTTGAGCACAAACGGACAACAATGGCAATCAACCAACACACCTAACAAAGCCTTTTATTCAGTAGGTGTTGATATGAAAACTCGGGAAATGCAATGAGGCATTGCATAATAACACTTCCTTAGTCTTTTCGATCGGAATAAAAGTTAGCATCTTCTGTGATACTGAAAGTGATATCTCTGCAGCTCTAAGAAACTAGGACTAAAAGTTGTCCAGAAAGACAATGTCATTGAAGCCATGTTTTTGATGTCTGCTCTAGCGACTACGCTTTTTTGATGAATTCTAGTTATTTCAAGCTTCCATCCTCCCCTGACCTTGTGTTGTTTCCGACACTGTGGTCCTTGAATATTCACACGTATCGCCTTGTAAGTCCTTGATTACCCGTGAATTTTCGTTGTGTAATATACATGAACCCTGTAATAAGTGCAACTACTTGTTTTTGTTATGTATGTCATGCCTCTTTGGCTCCATACATATTGGAATATTTTACATGGCTATTGGTTCATGCTGGGTTACAAGTTAATGATTCTTTTTTTTTCGTTGCTTTGCTAGAAAAGCACAGAATCATTCACACATACTTCGCCTTGGCACACAAACTTGTTTCTTCTGGCATTCCTATTTGTTAAAAGCAAGAGTTTGCTTATATAAATGTTCATGGGGTCACAAGCTCTGACTTTTTTCTGTTTCAAAGCTACAAATTAGTTACTCTGATGCTGTTTGGAAATTAGTCATTTGCTTCTCGCAGTCATTCTCCAAGACACTGCACTCTGCTTCGACTCCACTCCCTTGTTTCATAGATTTTAGAATTTGTGAAATGTCAACAACTCGCGACATCTTTAAGTAACAAGTTTTGTATTGTGTTGAGCTAATTTTCTTGGCCATATAACATGGCCAAGTAGCTGCCTTCATATTTTGCTTGCTGAGAATGTTTTACTGCTACTTGAAAATCTGTAGACTGCCAGTAAACAATACTTGGAAGGAACTCTTTCTCTCTTTCAGCTTCCACTATTTCAGGCACATCCTCATTTGAAACAGTATGTGCGCACAGCGATCGATCGTGCGATCCAGGAATGGATTATGCCAGTAGTGGAACGCTCTCTGAAAATTGCTCTTACTACATGTGATCAAATTGTTCGAAAGGTACGTTCCCTTCTAATTTTGTGCAGTCTTGCTTAATGGGCCATGCTTCTTTAACTTTTGCAATCAAAATTTCTTGACACTTCATACTCCTATCTCCCCACTACCTTGCAGCACTGTCAGAGCTTTGAGGTGTAAGCAGGCCTCATGCGTTTGCAGCAAAACATAGTTCCTTATGCAATTGCCTTATGATTGGCCAGGTTTAGACATTTGCATGTGCTAAGTCGCATCAATATGTGATACTTTAATACTGCTTCGCCTGTCTGTTGTATGCCTTGAATTATTGTATTGGTAATTGATGGCAGTTGCTGGTGTAAAGCAACATGGCAGCACCCATTCATGTGCATTTTACGCACTTTGATCTGAACATGCGCTTGCTGCATGCCTACTGCTCTGACAGCAATAAGTCTAGAGCTTCATTTCCTGCTGAGGACAAAATATCGGGTGTTTAAGAGCACAGCTCTTAGGCGCCCACTCCTGCGTTGAGTGACCTTGCCATTGGCGTGACCAATAGGCATGAAATAATGAAACAAGGAAAAATGCCCAGGATCTAATGGGATTTCAATCCTGGCCTTCTGCATGGCAGCCGAGTACTGTACCACCGAGCCGCGGTGGTGCGTGCAACTCATTTGCAAAAAGACCCTGTACACGTGTCGTGGCAGGCAAGGAATTGCATTACGCTATGTAATATAGCATGGCAGAAGAGCAAAATAACAACCAGTCATCACACGATGGTAATTGCACAATGAATGTGTGGTTTAATGCTTCCGACTCACTGCAAAGTGCTCAGCCATGATTCTTTGTCATTAGCCGTATCCAGTACTAACAATGTGCACGTACTTCACAGATGTGTAATGGTTACTTGCTGTCCCTGTCCCACTGCAAAGAAATTGATCTATGGCGTATCCGATAACTTGTGAAAAGACGAACCTTCGAACACAGTTGGCATTGCCCCAGCACGATGCTGTGGTCAGAGTTCACATTAGGCAGTATTGTAATCATTGGTGAATTAAAAATTTTTTGTCATTGTTTGTAAGATGAGCTGTTCGTTCAGCCGCACCTGCTAAGCCTGAAGCATTGAAAACTAGAAAGTTGTTTTTAGAAACCTTTGAAAATAGTCTGGAATAAATTGCTCACATTTTCAATAAAGGTAAAAATGCCAGAGGCCCGTGTCAAATTTAAGTGTACGTTAAAGAACCCCAGGTAATCAAAACTTCCAAAGCTCTCCATTACGGAACGAAGTCTCTTATAATCATATCGTGGTTTTTGAACGTGAAACTCGAGGAAATATTGTTATTATATTGCAAGTAAATTGCTGTCAGAAGCGTCAACACATAAATATTAGGCGAATATTAACATCAATTTCAGATTATCGGCCACAGAGCTGGTCATGAGTTGATAAATTAGCTGCAGAAGCCACCTGCTTGTGATGTGCGAGCCATTACTGGTGTGTCGATGAATTTTTCATCTGTGGTAACTGTGAATTTGCTGAATTATAATTCATATAGTAGCTTTGTTCCAGATATCTGTTTATTTTAATCTCTTGAATCATTGTGAATTTATAGTACTGAAATTTTTCGCACTCAAATTCGGGCATGAATTTCTGATATTGTAGCATGGCTGTTTGCAGGACTTTGCTTTGGATCCTGAAGAGTCCCGGTTGCGTGCAGCTGCCCACCACATGGTGCGGAGCCTGACAGCTGGGATGGCTATGATTACTTGCAGAGATCCTATGTTGGTGACCATCAGCAACAATCTGAAAGCTGCCTTTCACACAGCACTGAGGGTGAGTATATTGAATGCCCTGATTGAATAAGGCATAGTAAGCTGGTGCAATGTAAATAAATCTTGTAATACAGAAATAAAATATATATTTATTACTAAATACAGTGCCACCTTTTAGTTTAACACAGTTGAACTTGCATGTATAAGACTGAGGCATTTTGTGTTTTTGAAGCTGCGTCTTCTTTAAGGGAGTTTTCATTTTCCTGGAGTGTTTCTGTCTCTCCCCATTATGCGGTGTGTCCCTGCTATTTTTAGCCGAGGGTTAAAAATGCATTATCAGAGGCAGGCAAGCGAAATCAGTTGCATATTAAGCTAATATTGTCCGTAGTGCACAGCCATGTTGTGCACTACGGACGATTTTTTCGCTATATATTGACTTTAAGCCAGAAACGGTTCATGCAAAGTTCGAGAGCATCTTCAGGAGACCCCATTGCATTATTTGCGAAGAACAAAGTTTCCTGTGTACCATGAAAAAAGTCTCGCACTGCAAATGTGCTGCTCTCATTCGCAGTTTGTGTGAACGACATTATCAGCAGACATAACTCGCCGGATCCACTAGAGCAGTAGGCCAATAAGTCGGTGGTGGTTTCTTAGATCACACTAGCTATTAGTTGCACTGTCACGTGCGCACTGGCTCTCAACGGGCCAAGAAGTTCTAAACAAGGTCTGAAACAAAGCAGGCAAACTAGATATAAAAACTACACTAGCTAAAAGAGCCCTCGTAGCTTTGTCCAACCAGCGCCTGCATTTACAGTGGAATCTCGATGATACGAATTCAAAGGGAGCACGCAAAATATTCATATTATCCCGAATTCATATGAACCAAAACAAAAAAGTTAAAGCTGTTATTGAAGATGAACAAGAACATTATTGGCAACTATAGTTCTTGCTGGAAAACAGTCCATGATGTTCTTTCGAACTTTCCTGCCTTAACCGTCTCTCAATAAAGTGCCGTGGTTTCCTGACTCATGCTGCTGGTGTGGCGCGTTTATCAAAGGAAGCGAAAACGGCCAAACCCATTGGAAATGCACTCACTTTGTCGCTTTTAAACTGTGCTCTGAAGTTGTCGAAAAAAAAAAAAAAAAAATTAGTCCTGGAGTATTCAAGCGAAAACGCCAGAGCGACCGGAGAACCACGTCTGTGCCCTTCAAAATGTTTTAATTCGTTATGCCCCTTATACATGCCACCATTACCGCCGCCAGGGCTGCTTGAGAATTCATTCCATTTTGCCCGTTTCCTGAGCATTGAAGTTCGTACCGAGGTATAGTTTTTCAAATATTGAAAAAAAAAAAAAAAACTATCGGCCTAGATTTGAATTAATACAGTAAAAGCTCGTTAATTTGAACAGCAAGGGGATGCATCCTAAGTTCGAATTAACGAAAGTTCGAACTAACAAAAGTGAAGACTAACAATAGTACACTGCGAGTAGGGCATAACAATTTATTTTTTTGAAAAAGTCTGTGATCGCGGTCTGCCTTCTTTCCTTGAAGGCGACAGCCAGCGCTTTTTGTTCTAACGAGCGAATTTGGCAGAAGGCCTCTTCTCCGCCTTCTTCCAAACTTAAGAAAAGACAGGCGGCATTCAATCCGGCCATGACTTCGGAAGCAGAGGGCCACACTGGTGCTTTGTCCTCCTCCTCATCATCGTCACTGGCAGCGACACGTTCTGCACTTCTCACCTGACATATGTCGCCATCTGTGAGTGCACCACACACCACAGCACTTTAGTCCACATCGACCTAGTAGTCCGCAAAGCAAGACGTCTTCCAAAACGTCCGCCATGGGGCGGTGAGGCCGTGTTCGAGCACTGGTGGCTCGTCAGCTTGCAGAGCTTCGGTGCTGAAGCCACAGTGGCGAAAGCAATTTGCTATCGTAAGCGCTGTCACTTGCCCTCAAGCACGCACAAGCATGTGTAGTGCACTTAGGAGCGTCACTTAGTAGTTATTGCACAAAATAACTCGTTCCGACACATGACGCCGATAAAATGATTTTAAATTTCTTATTATACCTTTGTTCATGGGCTGCAGTACATCTATCGTGTTTGCTGGAAGGAAGGCCAGCTTGTCGTGTTTGCTGGAAGGAAGTGTTTTGGCACGGTATTTGCCGCGGGCACACGCCATCAAGTCGGAGCAGCAGAATCGCGACAGATGGGAAGCTATTACCGGCGCTACCGCAACAACTGGTAGCCGAGGCCTAACACCAACACAAAGAATCGCGACAGTCGGAAGCTACTCCCAGCACTAACAACTGAGGTGTACAACGCACGCCCCAGACAGAGACTGCAGAGAAGGCTGGGCAAAGCTACGACGCACCCGATTTGCTGTGTGCTGGTCATGCCATCTGTCGTCTAACAGCGACAACTACGCAGGATTTCCAAATGCTCCGAGATTGGCACTTAAAAAAAGAAATCTTGGAGGTTACCTAGGGTGGAGAGCAGGCAGCCGCCAAGAGAGAGAGATTGTGGGGGGGGGAGTGAAGAGTAAGTGGCGCTATTTTCTGCACTCTGGCCTCCGTGCCAGTTTCTCTGTTTTTCTCTATGCTCCCTGTCAATGCCACCTCGTAACTCGACAGCGGCCCTATCGAGTGACTAGCCAAGCCACCGGCGCGGTGGCGCATAGTTCGAATTATCTGCGGTGGAACCTACACGCGTTCAAATTAATCAAATTAACGGGCTTTTTTATTCATAGGCTTGTATGGAGCTTGGCCGGACCACAACTTACAGTTCGAATTATCCATAAATTCAAATTATTGAGTTTCGAAATAATAAGCTTTCACTGTACATAATGTTTCAAAATTAAAAAAAATTATCTGCCTAGATATGAATTAATACAGTAGTATTCTTCATAACTATTTTCCAATACTGGCTAGGAACGAGTACCATAAAAAAGAGTTTCCCGAAGTACCAAAGGTCGTGTATCGCCACAGTAGGAATTTTAAGGATGTGTTAGTGCATGCAAAAAGTAAACTCTCATTCTACTGCCCGAATAGCACCTTGCTCTCGTCCAAGATGCAAGACTTGCAAACACCTTCAAGATAAAATAACGGCAAGTGATTACGTCCATCGTATAGAATTTAGTTTTATAAAATATGTGCAGTCATACCTCATTCAAAAGTTTAATACACTCCAGCCAGAAGGTATAAGCATTTCTGAAAGGGCTGTTAAAACCATCGATATGGTAAATACACAAAAAAGACCACTGAAAATTTAACCCTCTTACTAGGAATTTGAAACCTGCCATTGTTAAGTGGTGCTTATTCTGACAATCATGACACGGCAAAGTGTCTGTTCCCCCTATTCTTTTTTGTTTCTTTTTATTCACCTCTTCCCTTTTCATGCGCACAATTCACCACTGCCATAGGTCGGCGAGCTCACTCATGAGTCGACTCACTTGGACTCTCTCAGACTGACATCAAGCCACGAGTCTGAGCGAGTTCGGGTGAGTAAGGTTTTGGCGAGTTTGAGTCTGAGTGAATCCGGCTTGGGAAAATTTTGGGGAGTCTGAGGCCGAGTGATTTTTCAACTGTTTGATATAGCCAAACTTCGATATATCCGAGTTTGATATATCCGCGATCAACGGTATATCAAAAGTCGCCAAGAAGAGCACCGATTACGTGAGATTTTGGTGTTAAAGAGCATTGACATCATGGTCGAAGAAGCTAATTCTAGGCTAACGGACTCGTGAGTCGACTTAGTCGAACCCACACAGATTCGGATCGAGCAGTGAGTCTAAGCCTGAGTGAGTCAAGTTGAACAATATTTGTGCGAGTCCGAGTGAGTTCGGTTTAAGAAAGTTTTCGTGGATGTGAGTCCAAGTGAGCCCTAAGAGTTAGATATTCTTCTTGAGTGAGTAGTGAATTACTCCGTAGTTTTTGCCAACCTGCGGTTACGCCCCCTCTTCCTATCTCCCTCACCCCCACATCCACAGTGGCCCTCTCCCCCTCCTTTGTCAGGATGGAAGAGAGGATATAAAAGATATACATGCTAGTGCTAAGGAAGTCAGTTCTGGCCTTGGAGACAAATGCACATGTCAAAACGTTGACTCAAGCACAGAATACCATTTTACAAATTTTTTCATCAGCTATTGAGCAATAATAAAGCAAAGCTGCGTGGCATCGGGCACTTCATGTGACATCACAAAGGTAGCAAGGCAAGGGGTGCTGGTATGCCTGAACTTGTTCTTGCACTGATTCGTCTGGCCATAGGTATTTGTAGGCTGCTTCAAGCTACAATGCCTGTCACTACTGTGCCTGATCACTTGCGCATCTTCCATTTAAGGTGACTGAGTAACTTGATTACCGCATATATGATAAAATGGCACATAGCAAGGTAATAACATGCTGAATTGTGCCGTGATATCGTAACTGCCGCCAGGAATACTAGTTAATGGTGCAACTATCACGCGAGAAGAGAAAGCCAAATTTTGGTGGCCATTCGCAGGTGTGATCATTGTGAAAGTAAGTACAGTATAGACTGCTTATAACATAGGAAGTAGCGGGAGTCGCGAATATCCGCACTATAACCCCCGAATGCAGAGATGTTACTTAGCTCGCGACTTCAACTTAACTTGAGCAAGTCGGCATGAAGCAAGCAGCGGACTTCAAAACGCCCAAGTCAGCCTTCGCGTTTTATAGATGCGTAGGCTGTCTTGCTTGGTCAAGTCAAGAACGAGCTTCAAAGCAGAAACACGCTGCTTGCCTGCTAACGAGGGTAATAATGAAGTTGTTCAAGTAAGGCATGCATTACATCAAATAAAGACCGTACATTTTAAAATAACTATAAGAATGAAGGGCCACCAGCATATTCCTGCCATTTTATGGCTAACGAGTGGCACGTGGTGCCTGCTGCCACAGCGATGCGCAGTGTAGCTTCTGTAAAGCTTTCGTTGCCCGCTGGTTTTAGTGGCTGCCCAAATGCGGCGCGTTTCTCCACGGTTGCTTGTTTGGAGGCGAAACAAGCATCGCGTTGGGTTCTTTCGTCGTTTTTTTTTTTTTCTTCAATCGA